TTTTGATTTTTTTTTCTTATTAAATTGAGAATGAAATAAGCTAAACATGGGAAATTATTATCGACTTAAAATCTCGTACCTGTTTAGAATTTATAAATGTGAATTTTTTATAATAATATTTCTATCAAAATGTACCTGTGTGCCGCGATATTTCGATATTAAAAACGTTTTCGTTTGTTTGTTTGTTTGTTTGTCAAAGCGTTTGTCGTTTGTTATATTTATTTATTTATTTTTTTTTAAATGGCGGTTTTAATCGTAACAACTTCCTCCACCTTTGAACGAATTAAAAAAAATGATGTCGGATTAACAACTCTTCAAATTTTTTTTTTTTTTTTTTACGAAAATATATAGTTATAGCTACTTATCATCGACTATAAAATAATAATAATATATAGCGTTATAATTTTTTTACGTAATCACGACTGAAAATGGCCAAACTATAAAATTTGATTTATTTTAATAAAAAAATCGTATTACTCGCTTACTCGCCACCGTGTAACAACCACAACAACAACAACAACAATTAATTAAGTTTTAAACCTAAAATTTATTACCCGTTTTCTGTTTTTTTTTTCTTCTGCTTGTTTTTTTTTTTTTGTAATTATTAGTTTCGATATATAAACATTGACTTTTTTATATTTTTTTTCGGACTGTCAAAAATTAAAATTAAAAAAAAAAAGAAAATTAAAAATGACAAAACTTACATACTAATACAGACATTTTCCTTCCATTATTATCATTATTATGAATATATTTCATTTCTCCAGGGCAAAAAATACATCTGGAAAAAAAAAACAGGTTCGTTAATACATAAAAAATCTTAATAGATTACTGACTTGTAATTAAAATGCATTAATGTTCCAAAAAAGAAAATCGTAATTAAATGAAAATTATGACGTGTGAGAGTTGAGTGTTAAGAAAAAGAGGAAACGATACGAATAAGTCGTCGTTTGTTTTCATTTTACGTACAAAAGTTTGTTTTATTCGTACAACGACAAACGCATGTATGTGAATCATAATGATGATGATGATGATGATGATGATGACAAACGAAAGATTTAATACGAATCGTCGTTGTCGTCGTGTTAAAACGTGTATAACAACCGCCCCAATTTAATAAAATTAATAACATTGTCGAATTTTACCGTGTTTCATTCGCCCGAAGGTTTTTTATATTGAACTTGCGCTGTTGAATGATTTAACGTTATTGGACGAATTCTTCTTATTCGGGAGCCTAAAAAAAAAAATTTAATGACCAAATGTCGCGCCTCCGGGACATTTTTTTTTTTTTTTTTTTTTTTTAGGATCCTTTAAACATGAATAAAATTTTAATTTTTACAAATGGCATCGTTTTAATAATTAAGAGAAATTAATTTCGTTTATACAAAAGAAACAAAAAAGTCGGAAAATCTCAAAAAAAAAAAAATAAATAAAATCATCATCATTATTATTATTATTATTACTATTATTGTTTCAGTTTTTTTTGTGATTTTTATTGAAAAAATGATATCGTAAGTAAAAAAAAAAAGAAAATAAAAAGAATTTTTTTTTTTTATGATTTTCGAATGAAAAATTAATAACAGAAGGAAAGCTACGAAGGATTCGCTTATTCCTTTCTCCCCCCTCGCTCCCCTCTTTTCCCCGATTCCTTTTTTCCCTAATCCTAAAATGAAAAAAAAAAAAAGGAAGGAAGGAAAGAAGGCAGAAAGGAAAACCCTCACAGCCTTTTATTTCTTTTTATATATAAAAAAAAAATTTTTATTTTTTTTTTTTAGTTCCTAATCTAGAAATAGATTTTTAAATGTACATTCCATCCGCATTCCATTTTTTAAATCTTTCTACCCATTTATTATTATTATTATTATTATTATTATTAAATGATTATTGATATTTTTTTTGTTGTATTCGGATCCAAACGTGGATGTGATGCTGCGGCAAATTTCAAAACGAAAAAAAAAAAAGCTCTTGAAATAACCCCCTCCCCTAATTTCTTTTTTCCCTTATAAATTTCATGTCCATTTTTTTCTTTTTATCCCCGATTTAATTGAATGAAAATATTTTCGTTTGAATTTTTTTTTAACGATGCCATTGAACATAAAAAAAATCAATTCGTTTTAAATTTAAAAAAAAAAAAAAAAATAGTAATGATGATGATGATAATAATGATTTATTATATTTTAGTATGTGTGTTTTGGGTAAATTCCAAAATGTTGTAACCTGACCGCAAAATCAGTTAAATAAAAAAAAAAAGGTTCGAAAACGAGAGTCTGTGACCGTTTCAAAAAAAAAATTTTTTATTACTCTATTAAAATTTCCCTTAATACGGTTCTGAATTATTATAATAAATCATATTTTATAATTTAGTACGATGGTAAAAAAAAAAAAAAAGAAAAAATTTAATTTGACTTGTGCCATGGTTGTTATTTTAAACCAATTATCATACCCTTAACGTGTGTGCAATTTCAAATTTTTTTTTTTTTATCTATCAGCCACCTAATGAAATTTTCAAATGATTGTAAACAAATAACATCACGACGTTATAGAAAAAAAAAATGGCGACGATTGTTCATTCGTAAAATTCGTAAAACGAATGGCTGTGATTATGGTGGTGATGGTGATGGTGATGACGCTTCATCGTTCGATTGTGAAAAAAATGATTTCGCGAAATGAAAAGGAGAGAGAGAGAGAGAGAGAGAGAAACATGAAAGGGCTGGTGGTCCTGCCCTTTTGATGAATTTCAATTAAGGTTCACGAGGACCTCCCATCGTTACATCACGTACCTCAGAGCTAAATGCCCTCCTGCCGTATACAACACTTTCCGTTATGCTAAATTAACGAATTAAGTTACACGCACGTTCCCTCGCTACTTCATAAAAAAAAATTTTTTTTTTTTTTTTCATGAGTCGTTTCATTTGTGACATTTATCGCACACTCACTCACTCACTCACTCACTCAGGTACGATTATAAAAACCTTTTTTTTGTAACCCTTTTTCCGTTTTAAAACGTCCGATGACATAAAAAAATTAAGCGGGAAGATTAAAAATTATTTTTTAAAAATGGCTCGAGGACGATTATTATTATTATTATTATTATTATTATTATTATTAATTTACACGAAAATATTCTTTTATAATTATTATTATTATTTTTAATAACGTGTAGTGGTAGTAGAGGTGAGAAAAAAACGATTCGTTAATTGAATTTTCAAATGGAGGAAAATTTGATTTTCCAACGAGAGGATATGAATAGAAAACCTTTTTTTTTTTCTCCACTCGCGATAATTTCCGACCCGATAAAGTCCGAATTAAGAATTTTCCCCCTCCCCCTTCCTCCCCTACCCTCCCCATTCAACCCCTCCTTTTATCATTCGTTACATTTAAATTTTTATTCTCGTAAAAACTGTCGAAATCTTCAGGTATCTTTAATTTTTTTTTTCTTTTTCCCGCAACCAGACATTTTGGCGACCGCTTAATTTAAATTTAAATATAAAAAAAAATTTATTTCATAGAGTAAAAAAACAAACAAACAAACAAACAAAAATGTCGGAATATAAATTATCGTTTTTTTTTTTTTTTTTCAAATCCATACGTGATTTACAAAAAAAAAAAAAAAAAATAATAATAATAATTTTAAACGTTAATTTTTCAAAATTTTCAAGAGAGAGCACATTGCTAATGGCAGTTATGTAATAATAATAATAATAATACCAATTATATGTCAAATGTAAAAAGAGATGATGTGAGGAGGATACGTACATACGTACGATTTGAGTTTTTTTTTTTTTTTTTTTTTTTCATCAAACAAGGGGTGTGCGCCTTCTTTATTATGCTAATATAATAAAAAGGGGGGAAACAAAAAAAAAAAAAAAACTTTGAGCCCCCTTTTCTTTTTTTTTTTTTTGTATAGTTTTCCATCCTTACAAACAAAACTTTTACAATTCAACATACTTATTATGGTGTAGTATATCTTTAAATAATATAATGCTTATTATTATTATTATTATTGTTGTTGTAATTCATTTTTCACACTTAGGAATTATTATTATTATTATTATTATTATTATTTTGTCGCGTAAGGGCATCAGGGTCGAGTTTAGGTTTAGTTTAGTTTTTTTTTTTTCCTTCCTTTTTTTTCTTCCTTTCTTTTCCTCTCTCCCCCCCTTTTTTTTCATTATATTATTTAACCTGGTTTTATAAATTTTTTACCACCATTTCCTCTCGATCAAAAAAAAAAAACAAACAACAAACAACAACAACGCAAATATTATTTGTACCGGAAGTGAAACATACGAGTCAAACCGACAAGTTTTTTTTTTATATATGTATATATATTTAAAGAGACAGGTTTCTTGACAACCGGATGTTGGGTCATTTACAAAATAAAACCTACAGGCAAATAATTAAAATCAACAACAATCTTAATTGGTAAAAGAAAGTTTAATTTGATATTAACCGACTCCGAAAGGGAGAAAAAAAAAAAAAGTAAACCGTGAAAAAAAAAAAAAAAAAATTTTCGATAATACCAACGTAAAAAAAAAAAAAAACTACTATCGCGTGCGTTGTTTTTTTTCTTTTTACTCTAAAAAAAAAAGCGATTTGATAAACGTATTACGTTCGATTTATAATAATAATAATAATAATGTCGGGGCTATAGAAAAAAAAAAAAAAAAAAAAAAATGGTTCGAGGCGAATCCGCCATTTTTTTTTTTTATCATTATTATTATTATTTAAATAAACGAGTAATGAAAATTACTGACCACTTGCTGTGTTTGAATTAGAAATATTCCCGCCCTTTTACTAAGGGCTCCCCTTAAAACCAACCCTCTTAACACACAAAATTACACTTCACTAATTACGATGATTAAGAGGGCAAAAAGCTACTGCTACTACTAAGGGCACCCCCTCCCTTTTTTTTTTTTTAAATTCTCACTTCTCTTTTTTACTAACGAATGGAAAAAAAACTCTAAAAATTTTTTTTTCCTGCTGTTTGTTTGTTTGTTTTTATCACGTGACAAAAATTTTCATTTAATTATCAATCAATACCTGACTATTTAAAGTTTTTTATTCGAAATTGGCCATTTTTATTCATGTTTTTCCTTTCTCTCTCTCTCTCTCTCAATACGAATATGTTTTGTGTGTGTGTGTTGTTGAATGTTTCATGTAAACAAAATGAAAAACACAGTTGAAGGTTTTCTAGTATAGAACCCAATAATTAAAGTTTCAAATGTTTACATGAATAAATTGATTTATGTTATTTTAAATTTTAAAAAAAATTTTTTTTCGTTAGTTAGTCAGTTAGTCATTTTTCATATGAAAATAATAAATAAATAAATAAATAAATAAAAATTTTGATTCAACAACTTTTCGATTATGGCTCGTTATTTAAAAAAAATCTGTACGAAACGAAAAGGGAAAATAAATTTTTTTCGTTTGTTTGCATTAAATTTAAGTTAAATCACGTTTCATTTTCTTTTTTTATTTTTTTTTCCCAGGTATAAAACCCCGACATTTAGAAAGTGGAAAAGAATTAGGTCTTTCAGGTGTTTCGACACCAAGTGACGTTTTCTGCAGCGTTCCAGGACGACTTTCCCTACTTAGTTCGACGTCAAAATATAAAGTAACCGTTGGAGAAGTTCAAAGGAGGCTTTCCCCACCGGAATGTTTAAATGCATCACTTTTAGGAGGTGTTTTGCGAAGGTAAGTCGTCACTCTTTAAAAAAAAAATAATGACATTTACCCAAAATCAGAATATATATTAAAAAAAAAAGATGACGTGAGTAAAAACGGAAGCGAGAAAATATATAAGGGAAATATTTTCGTTAAATGAATTAACGGATTTTCATGTCCTCGGGGAGCTTAACATTGTGTCTGTGTATGCTCTTTATATACGCACACATATTGAAAGAATGCCAATTTTTTTTTTTTTTTCAAGTTTAAAAGACTGGTCCGCGATTAAAATGACCACACCCAGATTCATTTCACGGATCGTATGGCCAATTATAATTATATCGATGATTTTTTTATGATGTGTATGTGTGTGGAGAGATTAACAGGACTTTTGAGTTCAAAAAAAAAAAAAAACGTGAATTTTTTTTTTACGTAAAATGTGAAATTTTAGTATTTTGCCACCTTCGATTCCCCCTTCGATCGAAAAATCAAATCTTTCTCTTTCTCTCTCTCTCTCTCTCGTTAAGGGAACCTTAGACGTAAATTAATAAATAAATAAAATGTGTATAATACGCACAGGTTTCGAGTGACCTCAGTTAAAAACCTGTTTTACAAAAAAAAAAAAAAAAAATTATGTTGTGAGAAAAGAAAAAAAAAAATTTTAATTTTTTTTTAAATGGATCAACCGGAAAATATAATGTCAACTTAGAATTCTTAAAAATATTTATGGTGGATACACACACACACGCACACACAAAGTATACGAACATGATTTAATTTTAACGCGTTTTTTTTTCTATGTATTTGTTTTTTTTTTTTTTTTTTTATCTAAATCTTATCTATTCTGGTTTTTATAAGACACGCACACGCACTTACACTCACGCACAATAACCCTGTCCATCGGTGATTTTGTTTGTTAGCTTTAAGGGTTTTACACGAAACAGGTATACAATAGATAGGGGAATAAAAGTCACGTTAAAAAAAATCCTAAATACCTTGAGGGAATTTTAATTTTTCTTACAGCCCCCCCCTCCGAAAAAATACTCATCTTATTTCTCTTTAATTATTTTCTTTTTTTCCCCCATGATTTATTTATTTATTTAATAAAAAAAAATTACGGACATGTTTTTTTTTTTTTTACGCACATCTAAGAAATATAAATAAAATTTCTATAAACTTTCACAAATCAAATGTTAAATTTTGTAACGAAAAAAATTTATTTATAATAATAATAATAATAATAACTTGATGTGATAACGAGAGCGCACGCACACGCACGCACGCACTCAAATAATTTATTAATTTTTTTTCTTTAGAAAAAAAATATTCCCGTGCAACTTTTTTTTTTTTTTTTGGTTAATTAAAAATAATAAATTAATAAATAAAAAAAAAAAAAATTGCTTTCTCTATTAATAAGTAGTAGTAGTAGTAGCAATATAGAACTTTTTTTCGAATCAAATGTTATTCAATTGGGCGTTAATATGTAAAAGTAAAAAAAAAAAAATTAATAATAATAATAATAATAATAATTTCTGTATTACGTGTTCGTCGTAGTGAAAATCAAGATAAAAAAAAATTAATTGCGACTAAGTTAATAACGAGTTCGAAAAACCAGATGGTAACAAAAAAAAATAATATATTTACGATATTTAATAAATTGCTCCTTTTTTTCTTATTAATAAAAGACGAAAAAATAATAATAATAATAGTAATAATAATAATAATAATAATAATAATAATAATAATAATAAATAAATTTTTAACAACCTTTCTTTTCTGTTTAAAAAAAAAAAATATTATTATCATCCCTTTTCTGATTGTTTTAATCGTGATTTGCCTTCGAATTAAACGCTTTTATTTATTATTATCATTATTATTTTTAATTTAACCCGAGAAAAAATTATTAAACGACAGGAAGCACATAAGAAATACAAAAAATTTGCATCGATTCGGATCATTATTTAAATCTCAATAATTTCATCTCATCATCACTTTCTCGTGAAAGTTTTATCTGTTTGCAATATGTTAACCGTCCTTATCACAATTATATACGTTTTATATTGATCGAATCATGAAATCATTTATGGAATTTATGTATATATCAAACGTTTTTTTCCCCCCCCCCCTCTCAAATTGTCTTTGGAAGATTGTGGTCAGTTTTTTTTTTTTTAC